AACCTTTATATAATTAACAAGAAAATACTCAACACATACAAAGGCATTCTCTTGAAAAAGCATTGCTCACTGTCCATTCTATCAAAACTGGCAGAATGTGGCACATAAATGTGTCATCTTCTTTTATTAGCGTTTTTTCACACATCATTTATTGTTTGTACTTTATCTGCAAAAACAGTGCATCTGTTGTAACACTTAAATTATATTTACTGACCTTAAATAGAATGATTCAAAGCAAAAAGGAGAAATGCTGAAAAATGAAAATCTACAGCAACTTTTGCCACATCACGTGCATCTAAACTGAATGCCTCTCCAATTTAGGATACTCCTACATGAACAAACATGTGGATTTAATCACATTTCTGCCTTCAAGGAAACTCGTCATAGAAGCTTAATCACTCTCTTACAGCTTTTTTAACTGCTTGGCTAGAGTGAAGCTTTAAAGTGCACTGAGTCAGTCTCTTTGTTTAAATTATTGACTTACAGTTGTCACGTTCCGTGTATCCATGGAACAGCCAAATAAATCAGTTTAGTAAGAAATTGCTCAAGTGAATGTTTACCAGAAAAATAATATTTTCTATTTTCACAATTTTCGTTGTAGTTTAAAATATTTCAACCCTTCCCTTCAGCTATTTCTCATACATTTAAGTTATGAACTGCCTGACCCTATGATGACCTCATACTTCCTGACCAGTTTATATCACCAACATCCTGGTTTTACATTCCTGCCTGATCGTTACATCATACTGATTAGAGCTTTTTTTTTTTAAATCCATTTTTATTTTAACAAGCTGACCTGTGCAACATTATTCACTGGTAATAACTGCACAGAGAAGATTTTGGTTATACTTGACACTGACATGCTCTGACTTCCTACAGATGTAGGTAATAATAATGTCATGTGATTAGTGTGCTGGCAGGTGTTTGAGTTATATCTGCAATAACTCTCTACAAACTGCACAATCTCTGGGGATGATGGCAGCAGACCTGAAAGGAAAGTGATTTAGATACTGGATAAAAAAAATGACAGTTGTCCAGCTAAATATGTTATGGAGACTAAACATTTTGCTGAACTGAATTTGATACAACAGTGACTAGATAGTACTTTTTAAAATTATTTTTACTTTTGATTTGTTTTCATTTTTAAAAGTGAAATTCATCACATTCACTAAGTTTGTCAGTAACTTTCAGACGAAAAAATGGAAATGCCATGATCACCTAGGATCATGGACAAAATACAGCCACATACATATATTGATATATATTTAAGCAAGAAAGTGGAAGAGGGTGGCACCTCTCAGCAAAAATGTTGCCAGATTGAATCCCAGCGGAGGCGTCATTCTGGGTGGAGTTTGCATGTTCTCTCTATGCATGCGTGGGTTTTCTTCAGGTGGTTTCCTCCCACAGATCAAAAACATGCATGTTAGACTGACTGATAACTCTAAATTGTCCCTAGGTGTGAGTGAGAGAGTGAATGGTTGTTTGTCTCGTTTGTCTCTGTGTCTCTGTGATGGACTGGAGACCTGTCCAGGGTGTCCCCCGCCTCTCACTCAGTGACCGCTGGATAGGGGCACCAGTGACGCCCATGACCCGGAAAGGAAGAAACGGGTAAAACATAATGGATGGATGGATAATGAATGGATGGATGAAGAAAGTAGAAGTGAAAAGTCAAGCCACCTTAAAGAGGCTCCTGCATTTTCTAGTTAAAAATGTTACGCTGTTTTAATATTATGTTTTAGTAATTAGATTATTTTTGTTTTAAACCAGAAAGTCCTGAAGTGTTCCTTTGCTGTGCTCTGTTGAGTGAATGTATGTGTAGTACAGGATATGATCGTAATGGATTAATAACAAGAGTAAGCCTAAAATGTTAAAAAAGAAGGAAGCCTCAGTGATTGATCTTACTCCCGAGTCTCTTCAAGTCATTGAAGTCATACCAGATAGTAGAAGAACAAAACTGATCTTTTATCTGGAAATAAATAGTCCCTTAGAAACACACTGGTGAAGATTCTCAGTTCTCCAGGTCATGATCATTGCAACTAAAAGGTACAAAAACAACCTGACTTCTATTCTGAAACTTAAGAGGGTTTGCTTCCTATATGGTAGGCTTCATCAATCAAAATAATCAATAATTGATAAAGTCTCCCGGATGGAAAGAGAAACATTTTCAGCTTCAGAATAGAAGTTCTTTATTTTTCCTTTTTTATCCTTTAGACAGAACGTTTCAAGACTTAGAAGCTTACTTAGTTAGGGATGAAAAAGCCTTTGTGTTCTGACTTTTTGTTACAGTTGTTGACGTCAATAACTAAAACTACACAGCTAGATTCCCCACCATTATTATACTAGCTGTGCTTTTCAAAAAAAAAATGTTTGTGAAATCCTTGTTTGCTCTAGAGTTTCAAAGAAAAACGAAAGGGATGAAACGAGTGTTGTGGCGATCCCTTAGAAATAGGAGCCTACGGTTAAACAAACTAAACAGCTGAAAATGACGTGTTTGAATGAGCAAAGTTCACTCATAAGGTTGCTGGAAAAGCCAAATACTTAAGTGTGCACAAGTGTATTTGTGACTATGAAACTATATTTGCACGTGTGTGTGTTTGTGTGCATGTTCAGATGGATGGATGAGCCAGAGCAACCAAGATTTCAATCCTTATGTTTGCTCCAAAATATTCTACAAAGACTGAAAACAATAAAAAATAAGTGTCTACATGTCTTCAGGTATTTTGTACCTTTTTGACGGTGTCCAGCATGCTCTTCCCTCCTTGCCAAGGTTTGGAGTTCTTCCTGATGCAGCTCAGGCTGGCCATGCTGTGCCATTTTCTATCCTCCAGCTTCCTGTGGAAGGTATTGGCCAGCAGTAAAACAGTATCATAGATGTAGCGGTTGGTGATCTAAAAGGAAATTAGACAGGATAGTAAAAGACTGACAACTATAAATGGTGTGACTTGTCACCAAATTCAACACACTTGAGGATATTTTTTATTCATGCTTCTCTGGAATTACAGATATACTTTTTGGTAGCTGTGAACACAACAAATATTGAAGATCAAACAAACTTTGAATAGGTTTATTTTGTTTTTATGATCCATTATATAAAATTTATACATTTTTCTGTCCATGAAAAACAGTTTACAAAGTTCAGAACCCAGCAAGACAATTAAAGGTCAGCAAAATATAGTGTCATTTAATACACCAGCACGTTTTTATACACAACTAAGAGGACTTACATTTTAAATGGATTTATTTACATGTGATAATCATTTCAGGTTTGCTACCTCTGAAGTTTTGTTTTAGTATTAGATTAATTGTGCGCTTATTACAACTGTTTGAAAAACATGAAATAATATAACAGATTTAAGTGCATTTCATATGACTTCAATTAAACACAATGTAAACAAAACAAACAAAAAAAATCAACTCCAATTCTTCTTTTTGTACGTTTCATTAGAGGACATAAATTGTATCTTCTGCTGTTAATTTCTAATTAAACAACTTTTACAAGCTTGCCATATAGGCACTCAAACCTGCACACATACACACACAGACACTAAAGGAAAGCTTTAAGAACGACATTCATTAAAATGCATCGATAGGTCCTTGACACCAACAAGGAAGAAAGAGAGTGAGAGAAGTAAAATGAGCAGAGTCTATTCAGCCTAGAATTGATTGTTGTGTGATCTACCAAACCTCTTGTTTCCATCGTAATGAGAAGAGAGTAAATAGATCGACTATGCTACTTGATTTTCTGCACACAAACAAACAAATGTAGATCATGTGTTTTCATTCACTTTTTTTTGTTTTTGTTTACCTTTTTTCAGCTGATCTTTTCTGCAATAGTTTCCACAAAACGCAATTTTGCATAAAAAATAAAATAAGAAATTAGCAGCCCTTCCTGATGCATCCTGGACTTGAACCTGAAGCTTTAAGATTAAAACACTGCAGCACAGACCATGAGCTGTTTTTACTCCCAAATGCACCCATCACCTTCAAAAACGTTATAAAATAATCAACGAAACATGAGATAATATCTAAAAAAAAAAAAAAAAACAGTCCCTTTTCTATATCAATCAAGTTACTTTCAGCCATTTGTTTTAGACGCACACAAGCACAACCTACAACTTAAAAAACAAGGACTTTTTTTTAAATCTGCGTCAGAACCACCAAACTAATTAAAATAAATATATAGCCTTTAACCTAACTTCCAACACAAATCTTTAAATAATTAATATTCACATAAGGTGACTTATCTATAAGGGGGAAGGCAAGTTTAATAGAACAGAATAATAACATTGTCCATTTAATTAACCTGCAAATGTATTTTATTTTTTATTTTTAATTTATTTTTGGTTTGTAGCAAGTATAAAGGTAAAGTCATTTCATACAATCATGCTGGTTTATTTCATAGGACCAAAACAAACAAAAATATTATATATATATATATATATATATATATATATATATATATATATATATTAATAACACACCCTATCTTTGACTATGCTTTATTTTTAACATATTTATTTAACTTTACATCCACTGACATTTATGGATTATGAACCTTTAATGCATCCGCTATCCCATACAAACACTAATTCACAATAATAATATTTGATTTATTTATATGAAAAGCATTTAACACCATGACATATGTTGATCAAAAGAAAGAAAAAAAAAGGCAGAACTGCAGACATAGTAAAATGTATATGTAATTAAAAAAAAAAAAATCTTCATTGTGAGTTGTTTTTAGAGATAAATTCAAAATATCAAAGATGTGTTTAGTTCTGTAAATGGGGCTCTTGAGTACAGCGATGTCCTGCAACTACAAATGTTACAAGACTCTTTGAAAGACAAGAGGGAGAGAGTTTAATTTATTCCCAGGACACAGATGAATTTAAGATATTTGTTGTGCACGCTGAGCTTGCATCATATTTACTTAGCATTGCTTGTTTCACTTTAAACTTTAAGTGAATCCCTTTTTTTTTAATCAAAATGATGCAACTGAGTGGAGATAAGGCGACATGTTCTGGTTTTTCAACATTAAAAAATGCCACTGTTTTAGAATATTTAGACCAAGGAGTGCAGACGGATACGAGAAAGCTCCAAAGTAAATATTAACTTAATTTCAACAACAATAAAAAAAAGGCTGATGTGGGGGCAAAACCTTACACAAAACTGAAAAGATAATCACAGGAAGAACCTAACATGGTGAAAGTTCAGGCAATGCTCAACTGCAACTGAGGTTGTTTCACACCTGATAGTCCGGTAAACTCAGTTCGAGTGGGGACCAAAATTCAGAACATTTGTTTACATTTTCAGCTGGTGCGGTTTGCATTCACACTGCACAGACTCAACCAAGCCAAGCTGACCCCCCCTCCCCCCGCCTGTGGTGGTGCTGCACCAAGAACTACTGAAGGAAACGACATGAAAACATCTGAAGAAGACACTGAGCGCAACTTACTTCTGGAAATATAAACAAAAACAGAGTGGCGTCCAATTTTAGCAGTTTCAGGAATTCTGTTTTGGCATTTTTCATCAATGGACTCAGCATGAGCAGAAAATGAAGCAGAAGACCACGGAGAATGTTTTTTTGCACACAAGGTGGCTGAGACGGCTCCCTATGAGATAAGAGAAATGCACATTTGTTTTGGTTGTATTTTGCGCTGTAGTCCAATTCCTGCTTTTGGAGCGGTCTCCAGTCTGCTTGCATTCACACTGCATTCAAACCGCACTAGAGTTCACTTCAGCCGAACCGAGACCTAGGAATTTAAGGTGCATTCACACCAGCCCTGTTGTCCCGAACTCTAGCCCATTTGCCCAGGAAGTCCGGTTTGTTTGGGGAGGTGTGCACTCGCCATCGAACTCTGTCATGGAACAAAGAGGCGAACTCTAACCCGGTCTAAAACCTAGGTCTCGGTCCGGTAGAAGAAAACTCGAGCGAGGTTCTAGTACAGTGTGAATGTTAGCAGAACGGGCACCGCACCGCAAGCAGGAAATGGACTACAGCGCAGGGCAAACAAACATGCATTTCTCTTACCTCATATGGAGCTGTCAGCTTGCCTTGTGTGAAAAACAACATTCTCCATGATCTTCTGCCTTATCTTCCTCTCATGCTGAGTCCATTGTTGAAAAATGATAACATAGAACTCCTAAAACCACTAAAACTTGACACCACTCCGTTTTTGTTTTTATTTCCAGAAGAAGAAGAAGTGTCTTCTTCAGAGGTTTTGGTGTCGTTTCTTTCAGTAGTTCTTGATGAAGCGCCACCACAGGCGAGCGGGGGAACAGGTTGGTTCAACAGGTTGGCTCGACTGCACAGTGCAGTGTGAATGCAAACGCAACAGCTCAAATGTACTGTAAACACAATGTTAGGAATATTGGTCCCCAACCGAACCGAGTCTACCGGACTATCAGGTGTAGAAACAACCTTAGGCAGACCAGAGTTCTTTTTCTGGTCCGTATCAGAGTTCAATTGTGCATTCACACCTCCCCAAACGAACTGGACTTTCTAGGAAAACGGACCAGAGTTTGATTAAAGTGGACTAAACAGGGCTGGTGTGAATGCACCCTGAGAGTCTATTTAGAAAAAGGCTGATGAGTGAAGTAGACACACCTGGGCGAACTGACAACTGAGAACAAGAGAAGGTGAGCATGGCAGGAAAATATTTTGAATATTGTAAACATTGGAAGGTAAAGAGCAAACTGAACACAAAGAACAGAACAGAAAACTAAATACGGAAAACTAAACTTTGACTCGCCAAGATTAAAAAAAGTGAAATATAGAACATACAATGTTCTATTTTACTGTCAAACTGTTTGACAAGACAAAGTTTCTACTTGATTCTTCATCTGACTCATTCCAATTGTTGCTGTCAAAGTTTTTGTTTATTTTATTTTTTATTTCTTCAAGTCATTTCTTTGTCTATCATACAGTGATTGTCGGATGCTTTTCCTTGAAAATTAAAGTGAAAATCCTCTGCTGCGAGGAGAGTTGGAGTTCAGTAACTCAAAAGGGCATAACGAGTGTTAGTGCCAGCATGGCTCTCTCTCTCTCTCTCTCTCTTTGTATGTGTGTGTGTGTGTGTGTGTGTGTGTGTGTGTGTGTGTGTGTGTGT